TGCACAAAAAAACAATCATCAAGCCTCCTTGCGTGAGACAATCTGAGGACAAGAAGTCAGAGTGAGTTCAGAGAGACACAATTAGTGCAACGACCTGGAAAGGGAAGAAATGACCTAAGAAGAGACTGCTAGAAATTAATCGAAGCAGTGAAAAAAGGAACTGAATAAGAGATGATTTAATCATATGAAATAAATAGCTGAAGTCTTTCAAAAAGAAAAAAAAACAGAAATGGCTATTTTTTTGCAGTAGAGGGGAGGCAAAACTGAAATGGAAGTAATCAGGTAACTGCATGGAAAGAGATCTCAAGAATAATTTGAAAGTAAAAGTATTTTTCCCAGGCTAAGACTGTGTTCCACACATGAGAAAAAATATACATTTCTACATATCATAATTTGTTCCCATAGATAAATTCACTCTGAAATAAATTCCTCTTGCCCATTACAGGAAGTTCACTTTGCTGCTCCAAAACCAAGATTTAAAACATGTTTATCACTTAAGCCCACAGAATTTGACATAGCAAACTCAGAATTTGCTCACATTAACACAGCTCCAAAAACATGCTGTATCATGACAGACCAGATGTCAAGTCACAGCCAAAAGCAGCTTTATGTAACAATCAATTTCATCAGAGATGCCTCTCACAGTGATCCAGACCAACATTTTGCTTTGGGAATCCAACCCCTAGACCCCAGATTTATCCAACAAAATTCATATATTCCTAGCAAAGGGCTAAGACTTCAGCAAGGATGAAAAAAAGATGACTTACTACCCAGAGAAGTTGATGCTACTATCTTTAGAACATGGTTTCCTGGAACTACTCATCACAAAGGAAAATTATCTGACTGTTAGAACAAATGCGTCTCTGCAAATCATTGACTCCATTGATTATCCAAAAACTGGTGAATTTCACTTGTTTTGCTTTTTTTGAGTATTCCCTCCCACTCTCAACTCCATTTGAGGAGATGAATATTCCCCCATAAGGCAAGAAGCAGGGAGTACCCCTCATTGTGGTACCTCTATGAGGAAAGATTCTCATAGAAAATGAACATTCCAGCAGAAAATTAAAAAGCTGCCCATTTTTGAGGAATAGATGAGATGGAGGTCACATATATAAAGGCACCAAAACAAATTCATTACCACTGAGCAGGTGCAGAAATCAAGTTCATCTCCATGCTAGACACCTTTTGGGATGATGACACCATGCCAAGTGCAAGGTCCTACACCTGGGTCACAGCAATCCCAGGCACAGCTACAGGTTTGGCAGAGAAGAGATTCAGAGCAGCCCTGCAGAGAAGGACTTGGGGGTGATGGTCGATGAGAAAATGAACATGAGCCGGCTTCAGTGTGCGCTTGCAGCCCAGAAAGCCAACCATATCCTGGGCTGCATCAAAAGGAGCATGACCAGCAGGTCGAAGGAGGTGATCCTGCCCCTTTACTCTGCTCTTGTGAGACCTCACTTGGAGTATTGTGTACAGTTCTGGTGTATTCAACATAAAAAGGACATGGAACTGTTGGAACAAGTCCAGAGGAGGGCCATGAGGAATGATCAGGGGACTGGAGCACCTCCCGTATGAAGACAGGCTGAGAAAGTTGGGGCTGTTCAGCCTGGAGAAGAGAAAGCTGCATGGAGACCTCATAGCAGCCTTCCAGTATCTGAAGGGGGTCTATAAGGATGCTGGGGAGAGACTCTTCATTAGGGACTGTAGTGATAGGACAAGAGGTAATGGGTTAAAACTTAAACAGGGGAAGTTTAGATTGGATATAAGGAAGGAATTCTTTCCTGTTAGGGTGGTGAGGCACTGGAATGGGTTGCCCAGGGAAGTAGTGAATGCTCCACCCCTGGCAGTGTTCAAGGCCAGGTTAGACAGAGCTTTGGGTGACATGGTTTAGTGTGAGGTGTCCCTGCCCATGGCAGGGGGGGTTGCAACTTAGGTGATCTTAAGGTCATTTCCAACCCTAACTATTCTATGATTCTATGATTTTATGATCCAGGGTCTTCTGCCTCTAATGGCATCTAAAAGTGATTTTAGCACAGGACACTGACTGAATATATAACTTCATTTAGAGAAAAAAAGAAAAAATCTAATAGTTAAGTAAATCTGCAGCTGGATTACTGCACTGGACAGACTTAATTTTGGTAGTTAGGCACATACGACAACTTATGTACCAGACCAGATTAAGAATGGAAGAAAACTGGAGAAAAGAAACCCCCTACTAGATCGAAAAATCACACAAAATAAATCCAAAGTCCTGCATCTGCAAACCCACCATAAACTGCACCACCATCCTCCACTTTTTCTTCCAAAGGTTGGTTTGGTTTCTAATCACTTTGGTTTATACTGAGGCAATTCACTCCCGCCTAACATTTCGTTCTGTATACACTTTGGGATAGAGAACACAGGTAAAAGACACAATTAAAAGACTGACACTGACTTTTAGGTTTAGTTTTGAAAAAAAAATAAACAAGGAAATGATTTTGAAACAAGCATGTATTTTGCTACTTTGCCAAATGATTTAACCTATGAACACCTGCTCCTATTTATTTCAAGGAATATTTATTTTGCTATATGCTGATTATATTATAGAATGTAAACTATTAATTTCACAAATTAAAAGCCCTCAGAGGTTTCCAAGAAATTGGACAAGTAGATTTGGATCAGCACTTCATCATAAATCAGACATTTGGATAAACCCTGGATCTCTTTACTGTACCACTTGAGCACTATGTCCCTGGCAAAGCTATTCCACTGCATTTATATGCACCAGTGCAGTCCAATAAAGCTTGCTAAATTAACACTGCATTTAGAATTCTGTTTGCATTCAGTGAATAGAATGCTAAAAAACAATGATTGGGTAACTCGGAGAATTAACTTTGGTGTAAACTCTACGATCCTCGTAATTAAGAAAGGTAATGCCTACCAAGGACCACATCCCATTGCACTGCATTTCGCAGACTATGGAAGTCTCTGCATAAAAGGCTTATTGTTCACTTCCTTGAACTTTGTTTACATTAACTTTCTTTTTCACGTCTCTTTTCTAACATAAATTTGTTCATATTGCAGAACTGTCTTCCATACTGCCAGGCTAATTTAGGTGATATTGATTGATTGGCTCATCTTGTTTCGAAAGAGATCTAGAAGCAAAGCATCATGAGCCTGAAAGGCACAGAGAGCACCAGCAGATTTGCCACCCAATGAACCAGGACTGCTCATGTATCGCCTCCCACGGCCACACAGTCCCAAAAACTACTAAGTACAAAATCAAGCAAAAAGTCATTCACTGGTCTGTATCACCAGCTGATGAAAACATCAAACTCTGAAAAGGCTCTGAAAACAAATTTGCTGATAGAGTAATTCATTAACTACAACTTACAAGAAGTTACATACTTTAGCAAAAGTAGCAATGAGATTTCATTAAAGAGTGTCAAGATTTTTTAAATTATGTTGTTATAATTAACACAAATTGAACAGCATAACAAAATTATATAAATATATAAATATATTAATGTCACCAGAGGATAATATACTGAGTTCTTTCATGAAAAGTAAAGCCATCATTTGAGTTGTTTTTCCTGAAAATCATTCTGTGGCTTGCCCCAGACAAATTTCAGATGTCTGGAAGTAACTGGAAGTTGCTTCACCACAAAAGGCTGCTATACTGTTCTGATGATTTACTTTATGCTCTATACACTACAGCCACTACACTGACAAAAGCCAACATGAATTTAAACTATGTTGCAGAGCAAGCATAGAAAAATTCTCTGTGTGTTGAACAGAAGTGAAAGAGGCTTTATTCATTTCAGTGATGTAGAGATCTATATCCAAACTTCTCTCCTTGAAGTCTGCAATACTGGATTAATTAAATGCTACCTGCCAGATATACCCAACTGCTGCAGCTAGGCTAACAGCAGTATCTAATTTAGAACTAGTTCAGGTAACTCCATGCTATACTATAGGCAGCAAGGAAATGAGATACAGATGGATCAGATTCAGAACTCAGATTTAAATTTCTGTATTTGTAAGCTCAAATCGAAATTGCTCCTCGTTCATATCAGTGGAAAACTACAGGATCTTGTTTCTAGGAAACAAATTAAGATTTCATATCACTTGTAACTTAACCTCTCTCACCCCAGTAAAAAAAAGTTTTCTTCAGTCAGGTTTATTACAGCAAAAAGAGCACAGCTCGTATCAGTTTTATAATGCCATCATATAACAGGAGCCATCAAATACTTTCCTGTATCATAATCCTGTTTCTTTGATCCTGCTCACTGACAAGAGCGCACACTAACATGGGCAACACTTACCACTCTGGAAGAGTCACAGCAGTCACCTGCAAGCACTCCTAAGTTACAGCTGGGACAGCAGAGAAAGCACAGCCCCTGCATAGGGCAGCTTTGCTTCTCATCTGTCCAGACTAAAACCCTGCCTGGTCAGGTCTAAACCAAATTTTATTTTAACCCACTGCCAAACACTAGTTTTTAATATGACTCTAAAGCAAAGCCCTTAACACCCTGCTAATGGAGTGGAGGATTTTTACATTCTTAACTGTTAGCTTCTGTCACACAGTTGACAAAAGTAAACAGTAACAACAAACACACTACCATAAATAGTGATACAAACCACAGTACAGACTAAACAGACCTGCCACTCAAAGATTTCACTGAATTTCTGGACAAACTCAGTACCTGCTCTGATTTATGCTAGCCACCGTTCTGCTACCACTGTCTCCTTCACAGCACAGGAAATACAGTCCCCACAGTCCCTAGATATATTTAGCTTACTCAGTGTATTTTGCTTATGATCAGAAGTGGAAAATAAATTTCATTTTTCTTATAGATGTACATGTACATACTTTACATGCAATATGCTGTAAACTTAATATATTGAAGAGTGACTGGAACTGTTATCACAGCTAAAGCGCTCTAAAACCTGGAGATAAAAAAGTGTAACTTTTATACAGTGATGTGCATTAAAAATTGGCAAACATGTTAGGCTCTTACCAGGAATGGACTCCAGCAAATGCAAGAAACACACATTATAGCCAAGAGCTGAATGATCATTTCAAAATGATGAGATCTGCCTTGTCTTTGTTGACTTTTAAATTTGACTCTTAAAAGAGTAATTCCTGTGACTGCATTGCACAAGAATGAAACAGCAAGGGCCAGTAACCCAAGGCAAGAAAAAAGTAAGAGATAAAATCTGTCTTCCCAGTCCTCAACATGTTCTGTTTTATAGAAGCACCAGGTCCTCGATGCTTGAATTTGATAGGCTCTAAACCTAAGAACAGGCAGCAAAGCTATAAGAACAGCAAACAGACATACCATAGTCAACATCATTTTCACATGTTTAGAAGTCATTTTTGTAGAGTGAAATATCGGCTTAGTGACTCCAATGCACCTTTCAACAGCCATCACACTGCCCAGGAAGAGTGGGCACAAACCAAAGAAAACCATGCAGATGCCAAAAACACTGCAAAGAATGTTGGACTGGTTAAATCGAATCCAATCTTTATCCGATGCATACACAAACACTGCAATGGCTCCATTGATGAGGTGGCCAAAGAGATCTGTGACAACCAAGCCGCTAGCGAGAAGCAAAAACGAGGCTTTCGATTTCTGTCTAAATCTCTGATATGCCTTCAGGAGAATTGCTATTGCAAGACTGTTGGACAGAATTCCCACTGTCATGAAGATTATTGAAAAGAAAACTGAAATCTTCTTCTCCGTGTGGCAGGTTGTGTTTCTCAGGATTCCAAATCCACCCAGCCCTGGTGATTTTGAACTGTTCATGGTTAGGAAAGGAGAAGCAGCTCTCAAAACATTTCAGCTGTCTTGCAATCAAAAGGCATCTGCAATATTAAAAACAAATATACGCACAGTGTAAAAGGCATGCCACTGTTCAAATGACATTTGAAGCAGAAATTCCATACTATTAGTCTGTGGTACAAATTTAATTTTCTGGTTTTCTGAGTGATATGATATGGCATATTTTAAGTGCATCAGTCACAGGATAAAACAATTATCTGCATGTATTATACAATACAGAAAGAGTGTACAGTATCTTTATAGTTTCTGCACATAGTAAGATACACAAAATAATGTATAACATACATAATGCTCATGTACATATAATCAGAGAAACCACCAAAATATTCTGGTGGTTAAACTACATATATAAACAAATATTTTTGCAACATTTATTTATCCTATTTGGATAATATCCTATAATGATAAATAAGCATTTATCGGCCAAAGTAAGAAGTTAAATACTCAAAACTGGAATGTTTGGAGGTGATAATCACACTCCAGTTCTCTACTCATCTACGTATTTATTTTCAAATTAATGTCCTAGCACTTTCCAAGTAATTCTACAATCCAATGTTTTTTTCAACGTAACCAACGTTTAGGTCGTCAGCTCCCCAGGGCCCTCATTGAGGCACAAACTTGCATTTTAGACGCTCCCTTACTCAGAAGCCAATTCTGCAAGTTAACTTCACACTTTATCTCCCATCTCTACTCTCAGGACATTCCTGCTAGTGAAAACTTCCCATGCAGAAATAACAGCAGGCTTTCAGACCGCCCGTCACACAGAGGTGCTGAAGTCTCCCAACTACCGAGCTGGATCAGAAACCGGGCAAGCCGGAGCCAGCGGTACTTCCACCGTTCGGGACGGCTGAAAGGGAGAACCCCCGGCGCGCTCCTCAGGCGGAGGGGAGAGATGCGGAGCAGACCCTGTCCTGTCCCGTCCCGTCCCGTCCCGTCCCGTCCCTTCCCGTCCCAACTCCCCGCAGCGCGGCAGCCGCGCTAGGAGCGAGCCCGCACAGCCGCGCGAGCACGTGGGTATCGCCGGTGAACCGGGGAGCGCCCGAGGTACCAGCACTCCCACACACCCCCCTCCCCACCTTCCTTCGCCACCGCTAGCGCCCTTAAGTGCGCGCCGGTGCCGCCGCCGCCGCCGCCAGGGGCGGGGCGAGCCCGCCACGCAGGGCACAAGTGCCACCGGCCGCTGCTGGTTACCGGCGCTAACACGGCTCCGCGCCACCTCCCTGTGCCGTCGCACCCCGCAGAGCTCCCACCGCCCGGTCCAGCTGACGGGCACCGCTCCTTCACCGCCCCGGTCCGTTGCCGCTCACCTCTCCTTCCTTGCGCGGCACCAGGGAGAAGCGCGGCGGCGCAGCACGGTACCCAGCCCGCCGCTGCCTCCCGGCCCGCCGCCACCGCCCCCCCATCCCGCCCTCCCGGCGCCGCCCGCCTCCCGCCCTCCCGGCCTTCCGCCCTCCCTCGCTGCCCGCGGACGGTCCGTCCCGCTGCCCGCCCCCGTCTTCCCGCGGGCACACTGCTGTAGCGCCGCGGGGGTCACTGCTGCCCCCCGCCTGTCCCCTATCCCGTGCTGTGCAGGGGACCTGGGGGCTCCGACTCTGGAGAAGGCTGCGGGGCGATGCGGACGGCCCGGGGGTGCCCGGCTCTGTGTCGAGAAGGTGGCGACCCCGAACTCCGGCCTTCCGCCGCCGCAGGAGCAGAGAGAGGTGCAGGGAATTCGTCTTTCGCACACCAGCGCGGAGCATCCTGCCTTGCTGTGCCGGGGTGCAGAGGGATGACTCCGTCAGGGAGGATCCGGCAACACGCCACCCCAGCCAGGCAGTGTGGGTTCTTGCCCACGGTTGTGCTGCTACAGAGAGTGGGGCAACCAAGAGAGCGCATGTGTTCTCATCTAGAGGCTGCTCCTTCGCTTCCTATGTGCCCAGCTGTCTGCCCAGTTTCTGTGTGCCCACTTTCTGTGTGCCCGGTCACCCTCTTTATCAGCACACAGGGAGCTCAGGAGGAGATGGCCCCCAGGAACACTGCCATGGCACATAGCAGTAGGCATCGTGTGCTTACCGGGTTGTGTAGAGCAAACAGCGCTCTGTGGACCTTATCTCCACTGGAGCATGAGATGGTGGTCAGATGGGGAGTTAATGATACTACAGGTAAGGCTAGAGATACAAAGGTCTTCGTTTCCCATCATGTACTTGGGCTGTTACAACTTGAATTTACAGGTAACTTCTAAGTTCTCTTATCCATCAATGTTCAGGACTATCAAACAGGCCTAAATGGGATTTTGTTAAAAACTGTTATTACAGGAATAAGCCAAAATATAAAATCAAGGTTAAAACAAAATCAAACTGCAAAATATTACATGGGCAAGAACAATGGAGAACTTGCATTTGTTTCCATTGAGACACAGTCTTGAGTTGTAACACGCATAGCTCTCTCCACATGGTGATTATTTAAAAATTAAAATTCTTAAACATGTTACAGTTTTTGCTTACCCTCCTATCTTCAATACTGTGGATACAATTTGCCTCTCCCTAATCCACCAGTGAGGTAGTACAGTCCAGCTAAATCCATTCTTTCAAGTAGTATCTCAAGGTACACAAACAACTAAAAGCACCATGCATTGGCCTTCCTACTCAAAACGCTTGTCAGATTTTGGAATTTTATCATACAAGCAAAAAATTATCAGTTTGGTCTGGTTGGGACCTATACATTCCCAGAAATTATTTGTTAAGGCAACAATAAAACATAAAAAAAATCTCAAAATATATCATTGCCCATTAAAGTTCAGAGCAAAAGGGTTTATTTTGTGTTTTCCTGCCCAGAAATAAATGGAGATAGAGATCTCAAACTACAGACAGCTTGCACTGTGCCCTTTTTTCATAGCCAGATTTCTTCACCCTTCCTTCAAGAGGGCAATTGTGTTTGAAGGGAAGCCATGAATTTGGTACTTCAAAATCATGCAGTCTGGGAGGGAGAAGCTAAAACACTATTGTCAGGTACCTCCAGCCAAAGAGAAAAAGAGAATAATCTCAAGACAGATGTTTCAGTGTGCTTGTAAAAATATGGTTAGATTAAGAAAGGAAAACACTGAGAAAAGCAGTGGTCTGCCAAAAGGAGGGACAGTGACATTTCACTTGCTGCAGAGATGAGGAAAGGAGAGCAAGAAAGACTGTTAGGAAAGTAAATATATAAACTTCCATCTCTCTTTTCAGACAGTAGGCATAGAGGGGTGCTCCTGTACCTGAACAGCTTGAAGAGCGTGAAGTGCCACAGCACAGTTTTGTACTGTTTGCAAGGCAGCAGGCATGTTAAGCATAACTGTAAACAGAACAGTATATCTGCAGCTCAGCCCTGTACATGTTTCTCTGCTTCTGATACAAGAATGACTGAAATAATGGTCTCTTTGGAATGGGGTGATTTATGACTAAGTGGGATGGTAACTTTAGAATGTGGTGGATGAGCAAAAACTCCAATGACACCATCAGAAGTAAGTTTTTCATACTATCTGATGGACACCTCTTTTCATTCCCTGCCACTGATGGAAACAAGAGTGACCAAAATTGTCCCATCACAGCCTCTGCTGTGGGTCACGGCTGGGGAGCAAACTCTTCACAGATCATGCACCTGAGCCAGAGCTGCAGGAAGGGAGAGGAAAGATTAATGTCATCTTCATTAAGGCAGTGGCTTTTCCTGTCATCAACAGTTTGCCAATCAACCAATTTGGAGCTGGGCTTGCTAGATCCTTTATATGGCTGAAACCAAAAGCTATAGGTGCACAAAAGCTATAGTCACATGGGAGTATTTCTTAGAGGTTGTGCTGCTCAAAAGCCACAAAAGACTTAGGAACTGAAGAAGTGCCATTGGCTTGGCTTATGGACTTCAGCATTTATATGCTTTGGAGCCTGTATTTCTTGCAAAACTCTGGACTCCAGGATAATCCAAGGATAAAGAATATAAATACTATTTTTTCCCCAAGTTTCAACCTGAATGAAGGCATCACCATTTTCTGGTCGTGTTTCATGGATTTAAATTCAGAAGCATTGTTACAACATATATACAGGGAGAAAAAGACAGCCTGCATCTCCTACTAATTGCAAAACACCCATTGATTACCAAACTCCAACAATGGGAGAAAGATAAAAAACCTCTTCAGGCTAGGGAAGCATGTTGCTGGGTGACAGCTGAAGTGTACAGTAATCAAACCCTCAAAGCTTCCTGCTACAAATCCACAAGTATACTCAAGTGTTGCACTAATTTTTCACTAAAGACCAACTCCAGACAACCTTGCTGAAAATAAACAACAACAACATTGAAGGTGGTAGAATGCAAATAATACCAGTATCTCTTCCTCTTTTGTCATCTTCGTTTGAATTTCTTGTGCAGACTTCACTGACACTTAGTATGTATTTTTATTACATATTCACATTTTGTGCTACAAAACATTGGAAACCTTTTTTTTTCTTTGCACATGACAACAGTAAATGTCATCTTTCCAACTAATCACATTTAGTGAAATACCAGTGATATAAATGTGTTTAGAAGACAAAAGTAGTAAATCAAAATAACTATAGATGGAAATTAATAAAATAGGATCAGATTTGGGGCACCTCAGTTAAATAAAACTGTCAGTGAAAATCATTCTGTTAAATGCCACATTGTTCAGCCTGTAATTGTTTGAGACAAAAAAGACTTCTGAGATCACAGACACTGACAGCGAGTCCTACAGCACACACTGCACAAACAGATAGAGTTACTGTCTTCCATTTCTTCGATTAGCAGTCCTTCAGGACTTCCTTCTCCTCCGGAGTTATCCTTGCCATCCCTGTGGAGCAACTTCTATCAAAGATCCAGCTATACAAGATGAATAATTAAAATGAAAAAGCAGGTATACAGATGAAGGTTAGAAAGGAGATTTAGAGTAGATGGGATATACATCAGGCACTATTGCACATTTTTTGATGCAAACACATCATTCGAAATATTATATGGCTGAGGGAAAAAAAATGTATGCAAAGGATGAGTTTTAAGAGGGTTATAAACAATACTGAGAGGTGAGTTGGGCAGAGGCTTGCTCTGTTCCGAAGCAAGCAACAGGCAGACATTACAGCCTTGAAAGTCTGAATCACTCCTTAAGAACCCCAGCATTACTAATTCTGATTGTGATTTTAGTAGCATTATTTAGTATTATTATTAGAAAATGAGGAATAATTTACCTGTCTGGAAGTTTTACAGCAGTTTTTCAAAGATGATGATTTTAAATCACATGTAACTGAAGGACAATTTGTAATATGATTTCATGAAACAGTTAAGACTAATCAAGGCTGATTTTGCTTTAGGAATTACAACTCATGTCTGGAAAACGTAGGCAGAAAATTAGGTCGATAGTATGGCAGGTGATGATGTACATAGTAGAGGAGGGGCAATAAGTGCACAATAAAGGATACTACCAATTGTTAAGCATTTGAAGGCTCATATAAATGTTACAAATAGGGCTTTCTTGAAAGCATTATGTGACTGCTGTGCCCCCTTTCAGAATGAGGTATAGTTTCTGATTTAGGTCCCATCTTAATAGTGGTAAGAGAAAACTATGTGCCCAAGATACAAAATAAATGTTTTATCAGATTGATGTCTTAGCTTCGCAAGCAAAGGTTTGGTAAGGGCTTTACCCACACTTCCTACAAAGCATGATAACCAAGGGCATGTGGGATAGGCAAATCTGGTTGGAAAAAAGCTGCTTAGGCAATCAGGAAGTGTCCAACCAGGACTGTCATCTCCTGGGGCAATCTCCAGCTACCCATGCACTGGTCCGCCCACACGCAAGGCTGGATCTGCAGCTTCCCATGCACCTTCTCACCTGCCGTTTCAACCCTCACCTGTCCATTCAGACAAGTGACAGTTAAGCCCTTCCGGCCTGCACAGTGGATTTTTAGGTGAGGCTCAGCGTGCGCAGAACTGGCCCCAACCTTTACACCTGAGGTTTGACTGCCAGGGCCTAGCTAGCTAGGACGGTGACAGCAAAGTCCTCAGATCATAGGTTTTGTAAGAGTGTCCTTCTCTTCGATGGAAGACCATGCAAGGCTAGACGAGCTCCATCAGCCCGGGTTTGAAGATAGGAGTTTTCCTTCTCCTATGAGGAAGGCCTGTCTCCGCTGACAAAGATTCAGGAAGGGCTTTAACCCACACATTCTGAACAACACTGTCATTTCCTGGGTCAATCTCAAGCGACTGATGAATCAACAGCACATCAAGCATCTAGGCAGGATTCTTAGAGGCGTTCAGTTGTAAGCCTGCAGATGGTAGCTTTGCACCAATGGCTCCTCAGCCAAGCGCACGCACCAGGGGTCTGAACCTCTTGTACTGAGCAGGATTACTATTGCAACAACACATCATCAGTAGGGTAAAACTAACCTGTCTCATGATGG